GCCAGGCACTGTGGTAGGCACCAGGTCTCAGGCAGTTTGGCCTGCTGCTGTTGGTAGGAGAGGACACATTGGAAAGGGGACAATGGTCTACCAGACCATGCCAAATACTCTCCCAGTAACAGACTTTTGGACAGACTTTGGAAAGGGATGAAGTTAGGTGCCATATACAGGCCTGACTCAGAGGCATGGTCCTCAGTCAGTGAGCTACAAGGCATCCTCAACCATTCAAAGAGGTGTGGATGTGTCCGAGGGGTGAGTAAGAGCAGAGGTACTACCTAAAGACTCCCCTAACCCAGGCCGTGAAACTTCCTAGTTTATATGAAAATAGCACATAAATTTATCACCTATCCCTTGATCAAAAAAAAAAACCAAAAAAACTACATCCCACAATATCAGAGTAAGGCCACTCCCATCCCCAGGGGCTAGGGTTCCCAGTGTTCTGTCACACCCCCAGAGACACATACACTGCCTTCTAGAGGCATAGTCAAAAGTCCAGTTACACCAATCCTCACAACATCCCTGAGAGGTGGGTGCCACAGTCCCCACCACAGAAGGCACTCCAGCTCTCAGAGAAGAGCCACACCACAATTTGTCCAGCTCCAGGTCCTGGCTTTGATGATAACTACTCCTTCCAGGTCAGAAGTCAGAAGAGGCCTGTACCTCTTCCCCTCCCCTGCAGAAAGCTGGAGAAAGTTTCCCCCTAGCCTGGGACCCACTCAAATGCACAGGGCTGAGATCAGGGCCTGCAAAGGGCCACGTGCCTTGCCCACCTGGGTCTGTGAAAGGATTGCTCAGAAAGAGCCCCTGCCTAGGGCACAATCCTTGTCACCTGTTCAAGCAATCACCTCCTGCAATTTGTTCTAAAAAGAGCTGAGCATTAGCTGAGCTCCAAAGTGGCTGGAACGACTCTCAGATCATCCCTGCGGAAGATCAGGATGTCTCACAGTCTTGAAAGCCTGCTCGCAGCCAGGACCAACCGCTTAGTGCAAATGTCCACTCCCCATTGGGCCTCTTAAGGATATGGGCTATGATTTCTGAGCACCCAGGGAACACAGTTTGCTGATTACTAATCAACCTAGTTTTGTAAGGAACAAAGTTGAAGGAAGCAATCAAGCTTGCAACAGAACTCAGACCTAAAGTTTGAGATGCAATCAAGGAACTCGCCTTATTGGACACACAAACATGGCTTCCTTACAAATGCCCTCATCTTTTTTTTTCTTCCAAAGGGAAGTAGCAGAGTAAGTCCTTGTGAGCCAGCTCTAGTATAGCACTAGCTAATTTTTTAAGATGCTTGCTGACTATAAGAGAATGAATGAAGGAGTGAAGAAATGTGCACATGAATTACAACCAGTGCCACCTGGTGGAAGAAGCTGCAAGGCTGAAGGCAAAGCTCATGACAGGGACCATGCACGAGGCAGGGTGAAGCCTGGGGAGGCAGCTCTGCTTATGGTGGGAACCTGACCCTCTGAGATCACAGTAGAGGTATGTGATGTGTGAGAAGCATCATGGAGAAAAAGCTGTGGTAATGGGATCCAGCTGGGACGTGCTCAGAGCAGTGACCTAGGAGTTTGAAAGCTATGACGGGGGGTTGCTTCATGACTACAGCCCATGGTGCCACACAGTTTGCCCGGGATAAGAGGGTTGCTTTTAGGAGAGGGAGGGGCCCAAAGCACCAGGTCAAGAGATGGAGGCCCAATGCATGGATGGATGCTAGATGGATAGCTAGATGGATGGATACATGGATGCATGGATGCATGGATGGATGCATGAATGGATGCTAGATGGATGACTAGATGGATGGACACATGGATGGATGGATGCATGAATGGATGCTAGATGGATGACTAGATGGATGGATACATGGATGGATGGATGGATGCATGAATGGATGCATGAATGGATGCTAGATGGATGACTAGATGGATGGATACATGGATGAATGGGTGGATGGATATGGTGAATGGATAGATGGATGGATGGATGCTGGATAGATGACAAGATGAGTGTGTGGATGGATTAAAGTCATGTTGAAAATCACCACTGGCTTCCCAAGCTTTATGTTGAGGTAAGCATGGGGTGAGAGGGTTGGACACAGGCAGACATGCTAAGTGCTATAGTAGAGGGGTACCCGAGTGTTCCTGAAGGCAGGGATGAGATCTCTTTGAGTACACTCCCTAACTGAATGGCAGTAATTGCCCTGTGAGGAGGTCATGAGAAGAACAGAGACCACAGGATGGCCTTTCTCCCAGGACTGAACCTGAGGTGGTTCACAATCAGTCCTAAACTGAATTTTCCAATCATTCCTCAAAGTCCACAAATGCCATTGAGGCACAAGTGCAGGCCAGAGCTAAGGAATGTATGCAGACACAGCACAGAACACTAAGAACCCAATTCCTGTAAGAACTGGTTTCAGAGTCTGCACTCCTAGAAGAATAGGAGGATAGGCGGGAGGCAGTCCATCACTCAGTGGGACAAGATATAGGACTGCTAAACCACAAGAGGTACACAGGACAGATGAGAGCTCCTAAGCTGGAAAGCCATGGTACATCCAGATGCAAGCCTAAAAATGTCCCCTCCCTACCAGTGGAAGATATAACCGTCCCTTTTCTCCAGGGGAAGCAACTTCTAAAGTCAAACTGACCTGGACCGCCTCACACCGTACTATAGATGTCTATGAAAGTCTCTTCCCAAGAGGATTGCCTCCAGAGAGAGATGCCCTCACCTAACATAAGGACACCCCTGATGGATCTCCTTAAGAAGCCATGATCCACTGGACTTGGACAAACAGTTCACAGAAAATTAAGATACAATATGTTAACATGGGTGAAAGTGTTCAGCCTTCATTAGTAATTAGAACAAGCTTTAAAACACATGAAAGCATTAACAGAGAAAAAGCTAACAGATATCTTAAACACTAATACATCACCTTAAATACTAATACATCATTGGGCATGATAAAATACTATAGACCTTCTGAAATCAATCAACAGCCATACAAACACCCCTAACCTTTCATCCAGGAAGCTCAGCCACAGAGAATCCATTCATTCACCCACTCACTCATTCGTTCATTCATTCATTCATTCACTAATTCACCCATCTATCCTCTCATCTGCCTGCCAATCACTCAATCACTCTGTCACTCATACCCATCTGCCCTTTCACACACACACACAGCAAACATTCATATACATCCTACAAGAGATGCAGAGGTTAGCCCCAGAAGATCCTCGCCCTGAGTGGGCTCACAGTCTAACAGAAAGAGGAATGCAACATGAAAAGATGAAGGCCATGGTAAGAACCAGATGTAGGGAAGTACTTGAAAAGGCCGGGAAAGTCAGTCATGCAAAGTCGTTAGTTGTGATGTCATTTGTGACATAAACAAAGAAAGAGATGATCGTGCACCAGCAATGGTCAGATGGACAGACCATGACGTCATAGCCATTCAGTGGACCCCCAAGCAGGGAGGTGAGAGAGACTATGGTGCAAAAAAAATATGGACAACGAGATGTTCATCGTCACAGATGGGAAACAACAAAAAAGTGAAAGATGCCAATGAGACTTTTTAAAAAGTGGATGCTCATTAAAGGAAAAAAAAGTGTTCATAAGAGAAGAATTTGGAAAGCAGAAAGATGAAGCACATGAAGGGAGGAATGAGGGGGTGCTTCCCCCTGCTCTGAGTCACACATCTTTACATTGACACCTTCAACTTAGAAAACACCAGGGGCATTGGCCCACCTGCCCCAAGGATGGGCTGGAGGTCATGGGGGAGCCTAGGAGAGCTGTAGGTCCCCATATCATCAGGGGAAGGACTTTGGTAGTGCGCATTAGTATCAATCAGAAGACAAAATTTGTCTTGTTTTATTATGTTGGAAGAAAGAAATATCTAAGCTAGCCCTAAACAGGCAGAGGTGCTGGGACCATGACTTGGGAGCATGTGCAGACCATCCTCCCTGCCTATATAGTGTCCTGGGGAGCTCTACTCTGACTCCTAGAACCTCAGAGCTAGAGACCCTTGCAATTTCAGATCCAATTAAGAGTCAAAGACTCCAAACAGCTGAATTTCCCCTTCATTAGTCCCAAGGTGACACAGAAAAGTCACCTACCCAAGCCCTTATGCCCTCCAAGGCAACAGTGGGTCATACTGGCCCAAAGTAACCCAGGATGCCCCCTCCAAGCTCCTAGAGACCCAGCCATGCTGCCATGTCACTGCCTTCGCACCTGTCATCTATATGTGGCCTTGCCCTTCTCCTCACCCAACCCCCACGCCTGCCATCTTGCAGCCTTGCCCAACTCTCTAGCACCTACATAGAAGTCACATGCAAAGGCCCTTCTGGCCTCCTTCTTCCAAGCATCTCCACCCACCCCTCTCATCTCATGGGGTTACTTGGGCTTCTCTGGGCAATCTTCAGGAGCCAGGTCAGCAGGTGTTCCCAGGGATGGTAAGCGCCGTGGCAGAGCCTGGAGCCCCAGATTCTGAAAGAGCAGGCCAGCAGACCCCTGCGGCCCCAGCTCCACGTCAGGCCCACGTGGCGTTGCTCACGTGGCCCAGACACGTGGTGCTGGGGGCACAGAAGGTGGCTTCTGACACGTGAAGTCCGTGTCTTCCACGATCGAGGGTGTTGCCATCTATCCAGGGCCTACACTAAAAAAAACTAGAAGCAGAGGGAGCACCCATCTTCCTTCTTCAGCCAGCTCCCTCCAGCACATCCTGCCTGCAATCCTGAAGACTTGAGGGAACCTCTTCATCCTGGGGCCCCTCTTCCTTTTTGGCCTCTCAGACCTCCAACAGCTCAGGCGTAGCAGCAGCCCTGCCCACCCCACCTGCCATGCCCTCTTTTGGTTGGGCCTACACATGGCTCTTATCAGATCCCACTTGCCATAGCCTGTTTCCAGGTCTGCACATGCTCCCTGGATCCCGCCAAGCTATTCTCTCCTGCCTGAGCACTTGGTAAGAACCATTTTTCTTCATGTCCCCAGTAAGAATTGAGAAGCCAAAGGGGGCTATGACTCCATTTTAATTGAAAGACACAAGCATACAACACACAACTGTGCAAATCTGGTCCATAGCAGAGAAAGAAAAATGAACAGAAGCAGAGAGTCCCAGGGGCACCAGACAAACAACTCTCCAAGTCTCCCCCACGCAGCCCACGGGGGCAAGCGAGAAGACAGTTTCAAAACAGTACAACAAAGGCACTTTTTGCTGGTTACAGAACATATCTTTCAACATCCTGAAGACAGGCCTTGAAACGGGCTCCAGGGGTGGCATGTCTAGGAGCTGGGACCCAAGATCATGTCTGAAAGCCCAAGATGAAGCACCTGCCAAGAACCCTGAGCTGAGATGGACTAGCGCCCCCTGGGTACATCTCAGAGAGCTGCGAGAACAAGCACCCTAGTGCTTCTTGGAGCTCAGGCCTTCCAGGTCCCCCTTACCACCCTGCACCAGACCCCGGATGTGACTCACACGCAAGATGGTATGCAACAGGCAAGGCCTCCTGTCCCCTGCCCTCCTCCTGTCCCTTGGTTGGCAAAGCCCCCTCATAGAAGGTTCACAAGAGATCCTTGCCCAGGGAGGGGTCAAGATACCCACTGAGTTTAACATTCAACCACCTGCAGGGCCCGGAGCTAAACCCGTCTCACCTATCCATGTCTATGGATAGGGAACTGTGCAAGAATGTATCTTCAGACTGAGGAAATGACAGACAATGAAATGGCCCACACAACCAGGAAATGGCAATGGTGGTCCAAGGCCTTCCTCAGTGAGCTGCTCCCAGTCAGTTAGGCTGTGTGGAAGTGGTGGGTGGTTGGCCAATAGCCATCCATTACCAATCTCAATCAGTGCCCAGCACGTGCTACCTCCTCCCTCTCCTTGCCTTTCGACTCTCCTTTTTTTTCTTCTATATTTTTGTCCTCTTCTTCTCATTCACAAAAACCTTCGTTAAGATTTGATTCCTTTGGGGACACCAATGGCACGGCTTTAAATGAACCATAATCGTTAGATCTCTGAAGCCCTCTCTTTGCAAATCCCTCTTCCTTCTTTTCCAAGTTGTTTTCATTCCTTTCCTATCCCCCCCCCCCCCCCGCTTTCTGCTGTCTTTTACTGTTCCTGATGGTCTCGCTTTATCAGCCTGGGTGTGCAGGACGGAGCAAGGCCTGCCAAGCCCGTCCCGAGTCTCCGCCCTGTCTCCCATGTCTCTCTTCCTTTCCTTGTCCTTCTTGTATCTTAGTTTGAGATTTTTTTCCACCTATTAATTTCCTGTGAACATAATTGTATTATTCAAAATCCCACGTGCAGAACAAACATTGCTTCCCTCATGTATCTGTGCTTGCAATCTTCTTCCCTGTGTCTGGTCACCTTTTACATTAAGTGTTTACTGTTATTTATGGCCCTCCACTGCATGTATTTTATTACAACAGAAGGTGCTTCCTGGTTTGGGGGCCATAGTGGTCTTCGATTTTTTACACCTCCTTTGAAAGGTATAATGTATTTATCTGTTTAAGGACTATGCATGGGAACTCATTACTGTTTCTATTCCGACAGCCTCTCTTAATTACCCATTTATCATGCTGCTTGTTTTATTATCTTTCTCTCCTTTTTGCGTCTTTTTTTTTAAAAATTCTCTCCATTCTCTCTCCCCGTAAGAACCTGGGTCTGGATTACCTCATCGATCTTTAGGATTAATGAGACCCTCATCACTAATCCTCACAGATCTTTCTCTTATGAGGCACCCCATATTGCTTCCTCTCTTACCCGTTTCTCATTTCCTCCTCTTTCATTTTCTCTCATGGCCCCCTTTTCCCTTCTCCCCTTCTCCTTTGCATCTTTTTACTAAGGGACCTCAGGTGCCCAGAATAAGATGAGCAAAACTCCCCTGGGCCACTCCTTCCTGGCTGCTCTAGCCATTTCCATTTCTAATTCAGTCATTCGTGTACCCATTCATTCTTTCTGTCACTCTTTTATTTCAATATTTATTCTTTTATTTATGGACCTCAGGTGCACAGATTTAGATTAAGCCTGATCTGAGGGTCCCAAGCCTTCTCCACATGGGTCTGCCTGCAGCTCTTTTGTTCTTTAATTCCTTGTGCTGACGCTTTGGTTCGGGGGACATTTAGTTATCTCAAGAGCCCAGTTTTGAATTAATCATAATTCTTGCTGCCTCTCTCTCCCTCTCCACCCTGTGTAGCCCTCTCAGGCACATGTCTCCATGTATATTCATTTATGCCCTCAACCTTTTCATTGTGTCTATCTGTCCTGCCCCTTTTCTATATTCCTTTGCACAGTCTTAGCTATTACACGGTTTGAGTGCAGCATCATTTCTCACTCGGTTTTTCATGGCCACTCCTCAAATTGTTTCTTTTCAATATTTGTTATTTTTTTTATGGGTAAGTCTCCACTCCTATTATTTAACACACTCGACAGATAATATGTATTCATCATATTTAAATACTTAGCTAACAACTGCTTTTTCTCCTATGTGTTCGTCCATCTAAATTTTTTTCAACATCTTTTTTTTTCTCCATCTTCTAATTTATCTCTCTCTTTGTTCCACCTCCGTCATCATTATCACCATCATCGTTGTCATTTACAATTTCGGGGGCCATAATTTTGTTCTTTGTGTTTGTTTTTTCGGGCTGAGACGGAACCCAGAGCTTGGCACACGCTAGGCAACGGCTCCATCCCTGAGCTGCACCCCAGCCCAGGGCCTCAATTTTGAATTAATATGGATGACTTGTGTTAAACAAGCCCTCGCTCCTGGACATAATTGTTCCACTTATCATCTTCTGTGCGTCTTTTCATTTCTCCCCATCTTATTGTTACTTTCTCCCCTCTTTCTCCCTTTTATCCTCTGGGAGATCAGATGACCCTTGGGCTCTGCAGCACCCTCCCCCTTAGAGTGAATGCCAATCTTTTTTCTCATTCATTCATTCGTGCACTCAGCCATCCATTCGGTCTTTCTTTCTATTTCAATACTGGTCTCTACACTTCCAGAGGGCAGGTGCACCTAATTGGATACATCATAATCTGCTATTAACGGGCCTCCCCTCCACAGCCTCATTGAAGCCCTCCCTGACATATTGATGCCTGAAAGGTCTCTTGGCTGGGTGGGTCATTGTCCATTGCAAAAACACAGATGGGAATTAACCAGTCTGCTGGCCCAGCCTTTCGTCCTATCCCGAGCAGGCCTCTGTCTTCTATCTGTATTCATCTACCTATCTGGGGGCACATTGTTACCTTTTCTTCTTGAGATAGAATTTACATTTCTTTCCTTGCCCCGCTCCACATTGTCTTTCTCAGCTACATAAGCCGGTGGACAAGAGCCACCGAAAAACGTCCTTCTGTGACTCGCACAGCTCCCTGCCTCCTCCTCTCGTTCATGCATTCACATCTACCACCCTACCTTCCTGCTTTCTTCCCTTTCAGTATTTAAGTCTCTGCTAGTAGAATTAAGTGTTCAGATTTTGAATCCTAGCTTATCTCTCCCAAGAAGCTACTCATCTGTCTGCCTAATGGATTGTTTCTTCTTTTTCTTTTTCTTCCTATACTACCTCTCTGTCTTGTTACCACTTTCTATGTGTCCTGGCTTCCTCCCTTGCTGTCATTCATCCCCGTGAGGCCAGGGTGCCCGGATTAACTAAGCAGCACCCTGATACTAACCCAGCTGGGTCCCCCATGCATAGTCCCGCATCCCCTTACTTTGCTGTCGCTGTTTATCCATTTCTGTTTGTTTTCTTTCTTTCCTGCCTCTTTCTCGCTTGGATCCCAACATCATCCCACTGTTCATATTAAGGGGCCTTGGAACCTCAGTGTTGGTTTAGATAGTTCCACGTCTCCGTCCTGCTTTTATTTAAGATTCCTTCTTTAATTAAAAACGTCTTAGGTCCATGCTGATCCGATACCTGTTTGTATGGGGTCCTATATACATATCGACTTGGCACTTTATTAATTCATATATTGATTGCCTAGGACCAAAGAGACAGAACGGCAGCTGTGTGCGCCCATCCTGACTTGTTCACTTGATTTCTATACCTATTTGTTTCTCTATCCCTTCATGCTTGATTCTTCATCCATCTAATGATGGATGTGTGTTATGTGTGTGTTATGTGATGTAACACGCACCAGAGAGACAGCCTCCAGACACAAAAGCCGGAGCATTCATTCCCTCTTGGCCCTTCCTACTTCCTCCCACCAAGTTAACCACCGGAGTATGCAAACCCGTAGCCCAGAAACAAACACAAATGGCAGATGTGGAGCAAACACAGCATATGTTCTTTTAGCACCAGATTCTCCCAGGGCTCACCCCTAGACATACAAGAAGCAGATTCGAGACTAGGGCCCCCCTTCCCCAAATCCCCTTGGCAGGGTAGACACTTCCCCTTCTGCCCCTCTGGGCCCCAGTGAATGGCCATCCCCATGAGAAACCTGTTTCAAGACCCCAGAATACATAGAGACACAAACATGGTACAGTCTTCCCGGTGGGAAACGACAGAACAGAGTTCATTTGTAAATAGGTGGCTTTGTCTACAGCAATATAAAAATATTTTGGCCTTTCAAGACGGATACAAAAGAAAGTCCCCATTACCATCCCCAAGTGTCTCAGCCCCAAACAATAAAGAACTTGAAGAGGTTGAGATGGAAACTTTGAAGACAGAAAACCTGCCCATTATGTTTTCCAGACATTTCCAGGGGGTGAGCTCGGGTCATGGAGGCTTGAAGCCTATTTGAGAAGCTGGTCCCTCGGTCTGCATTTTCTCCTCAGCCCTTTGAAGGCCCCAACTCACAAGGGCGCTTCCATCCTAGTCAGTACAAGAGCCAGAGGGAGATGCCACAATGAAAGGCCCATTCATTTGGAAGAGTGAAAAAGAAGAAATTCTTTTGGGGTCCCACACTTGAAACTGCCTATAGAATTCTTTTGAGACAGACAGAACACAAGGCGGATGGAGGCTCCCATCTTACAACACAAGCACCAGGTCAGCCCTCCACTTGGCTCACTGGGCCACCCCTCCCCCACCTCCATCTGCACAGGCTGCAGCTTGCCTGACAGGGTACTTTGGGCAGAACCCCCACCCCAACAGCCCCAAGTATGCTCGCTCTAATCTAGCAACTTACGATTTACAGTTGGAGGGTCCTGGGGGCATGAGTCCATGTCCGTGTGTCCAGGGTCCCACGCAGGATTCTGGGTGATGACTTTGGCTAGAATCAGAAAGCTTGCAATCACGGATAGAACCTCACCCAGGTCAGGAAGTACGAGAAGGTGGGTGGCAGAGGGTGACACCTATGCCGGACGCAAGGATAGCTTAAGGCAGGGACTCTCTCGGCTTCTACAAATTTGAAGTCCACAGAAGCAAGCATCTCTGTTCAACCCACTCACTTCATGTTTATTCTCTTACCAGTTGCCTAAGCACAGGTGGGGCAGGTACCAAGAGCCCTGGTACAAGATTACATGATGGGCTCTGGGCTGCTATTCAGAAAGGTTTATGGCCGCTGTACCTATGAGACGCAGACTGATACCTAAGTGCAGTAGCCCAGTCCTCCCCAGCAGGGAGAAGACTGAAAACACCCTAAAGTCAGTGGGCCAGCAAGACTCAGTATGGGCCAAACTGGATAGAGGGCCCTGGTGACCTCTATGGTAACTGGGAGGTCACCTGCACACTAACCATGCCATAGGAATGCAGCAAACGCTGTGGAACACCAGCATGCCATGTCTTTACAAGGCCAGGATTAGACTCGGACTCAAGAGAAAACTGCGAGATACACAGAGACAACTAACAAAGCCCATAGGAGGTATGCTGTAAGTCAGCCTCAGGACAGGGACTTTGTCTACTACTCGTGGGTCAGTACTACCATGGAGCGGGTAACAAAAGCGCAGTGCGAACACAAGACGTTAATGAAATGGGAACAACGGCTGTGCATATTTCCCCTCTGCATTTTTTTATTTTAATTTTATTTTTAAGATAGGCTCTCACATAGCCCAATCCAGCCTCAAATTTGCTATTAAAAAAATGACCTTGAGTTTCTGACCCTCCTGCCTCTACCTTCTAAGTGTTGAGATTATAGACATGTGCCATCGTACATGCCTCTGTGCTATGCTGGGGACTGAACCCTAGAGCTTCTTAAATGCTGGTCAAGCAATCAACAGCGGGAGCTACATCCCAGCCCCCATAACCAGGGCCTTGATTGTCTACAAACTCAAAACTGTTTAAAGAAAAAAATATGACTTATTAAATAAAACATGTTTTAAATGAGTTCATTTTTAAAATATGTTACTAGATTCCGGTAAAGGTAAGATAGGCAAAAGGGGTTCTGCACGGCTGAAGTGGGGGGTCAGGATGGGAGCAGGAGGGCAAACGACTCTTCCAACCCCCTTTGGGTACTCATGGAAGCAAGGGCCACAGAGGGATGCGTGGGCAAGGCTGAAGGCTCCTGGGAGTTAAAATGACCAATGGAGCAACATGAGCAGGGCGGGAACTCTGGGATGTCACAGGCCACAGGACCTGGGAAATACCTAGTGCAGGCTGCCAGGTACCTGTCCGCCCTGCCACTCCCTACCCTGTCCTTACTTCAGCCTCCATAGACAGGCTCCCCTACTCTTACCCTCCATTCCCAAACAAACAGGGCTGAAGCATCCCAAACCCTGTGAGCAGGGACACGCCTCGTATCTCAAAGCCTCCTGCAAACCAGTTGCTAATCTTGCTTGTGCTTCCCAAACATAACCACCCCATAACTGCTTGATTCTGTGACTTCAAAACAAGAACTCACAAGGCAGTCACAAGATCTGGGTGACCTTGAGATTATCTGTCTATCCAGCTACTTACTATATACTGAACACCCCTCTCCCCATGAGCCCTGTATGGCTGGGGTGGTCACTCATCATAACCATGGTCCCTAGGTGACAATGAGACTCCAGACCAAGAACACACAGCAAGACCAAAGATGCTGCTATTTCCTTGCAGGAACATGAACTGGGGCCTTTGCCCTGCTACTTCTCTTTCAGTCTGTTTTGTTTTTAATGGCAGTGGAGTAATCAGAAGCAGCCCAGGGCATCTGGGTTTTTTCTTGTCTCTCCTCCAGGCCCCTGTGGACCCTCGGCGAGCCTGACTGTCCTTAATGAACTCAGCATGCAGACCCGAGGCTGCTATGCTAGCACGTAACCCTGGCAAAGTCGTGCCTTGGTTTAAAAGCTGCGTGTACCAGCTCCAGGTCCGCCGTGATGTATTAATAACGCAGTGCGGGGCTGGAATCTTAACAAATGTCAGAAAAGCTGCAGAGATGAGTCACTGTCTGGAGCCAAAGGGAAAAATAAGACCTTACAGAGTCCGCAGGAGCCACTGTCACACGTATTTGATGGAAAGCATCTTAAGTGCAAGCACTGAGCTCACGACACACGTAGAAAGTGGTGGTGGGCACACTAAGTGTAGCCCCCACAGCTTAACAGGATTAGAACATTCTAGCTCTGCATCTTGAGTCTTTTTCCCTTTTTTCTGAAAAGTTTCTTTCTTCCAGAGGCACACAGGACCTAATTGATCTAGCTTGTCTTTGGTACAAATACCTTACTGATGTTTCAAACAGAGAAAAACGTCAAAGGACTATTTTTACTAAAATGTTGACTTCAAGTCTGCAGTGACACAAATGATCGGCCTTCCTTGCTCCCCTACCTGTTGGGAAAATACTACCCTCTTACAAGTCCCCCTGACAAATGTAAGCTCTTTGCAGAGCTCATTTCCTGTACCTTTGTTGAGACCCAGGCCCTGAACATTACAGGCCCATTTATGAAAATGGGAGAGGTAATTGGGACATCTTTTGAAACCATGTCCCTTCACTGCACCGGGCCCTCATCAGCCCTCTAATTTTCTTCGGTCGGGTTACAGAGGATGTTTATATATGCCTCTTCCTGGAATTTCACCTCTTTGCTTCAGGAGTGGGCAATTAGGGAGAATTAGAACCTATTTGGTACATGTTTACCCTTAATGGATAGAGAGGCTGAGGCAGCCTTGGGAACACAGTCTGCCAGTCTAATTGAAGCTGGCAATTTTTTGATTCCTTATTTCAGCTCGCAGGTATTGTAGCAACCAAGGTCACAAAACAAAAGCTGCAGTCCACCATGGTAATAAGGGGTGCAGACTGCCAGAGGTCTGTGAGCTGCGGATTACCACGCTGAGGCCCAGAGACAGACAGAGACACAAGGGGGTAGCAGTGGGTGGGTATCACTCGCTTTTCCGCAATTTGCTAACTCGGTGACTTCTGCAAGAAGTTCTTCCCTGAGTGGGCCAGGATGCCAATAGCGGTGATGCCAAGTGCCTCTTGACCAAAAGGTGCACAATGAACCACTTGGGACAGTGCCACTGGGGCACACCCTCCTGGCAGAGAAGCCATGGGTCTAATCTCACTACACAAGTGATGTTCTCTGGCCAGGGGCAAAAAAAAAAAAAGGGGGGTTTCCCAGCCTGGTCTATGGCATGTTCATTTGAATAATTCCCTGCAACAAGCAATCCCTTCACTACAGTCTGTGTGGCAGCCCTAGGGACTTTCCCCCAGTTCAAGAAATGACCTCCAGTCTCCAAAAGCTGTCAGTGAGGAACTAGCTAAGGTCTGAGACCCTCTCTCTGACCACACTGGTCACTCAGGAACCCACAGTTAACAGTCCTGCACCCAGGGTTGCAGCCAGGCGGAGTGAGACTAGACCCTCTGAAATCTGCAGCCCCTTCATCTCTGAAGCAGGGAACAACAGACCTGAGGCCACCAAGGACCCTAGTGTGCCGAAGGTTCAGCACTTGGGTGCTTAATTCCAAAGGCCTCAGATAACTACAGGTCTGCACTCCCTGTCTTAAGGATGGAGAAGCGATGACCCTGAAGGCTGAAGTCAGCTACATCGATAGGCAGGGTTGACAAGGGGCTGGATTCAGACATCCATTTTGAGCTCTGTCCTTTGACCATCTTGGCAATTCCTAAGGAGCAGGGGGTGGTCTACCAGGAAGCTAAGAGAGACCCAAAGTGGCCAGCCATGGCCCTCTGCATTCCCTTCTCTGGTCAGACAGGCCCTGTGCCTGTCTACTACCTACATACCTGCTGATTACATACTGGGTACACTTGGACTCTGGTCTCATTTTACAGACAGAGAAACTGAGGTTCAGAAGCCATTAGTCACAAAGACACTAGCCATGACTGAGAACCAAGATTCCTCCTAGGTAGGACTTTTGCCTTGAGCTAATCTAGGGCAGTAGTGGGACAAACCTCCTGAAGGGGAGGTTAATCTGCCTTCTTGCTCTCCTTATCCCTAACCATACACATCCACTAAAATCCCCAACTCAATTTTAGATCCCTACCCCCAGTTTCCTAACCCTGGAGGGATGGCTGTCTACGCACGTACAGGACAACCTAGAGACCGTGCTGGAAGACAAAAAAGCCACACAGCTGTGGTCCCTAGGGGACAGCGAAGACATGTGCTCAGTCTTTGGCCCTTCCACTGTCCTCTTTCCCCAACTTTCCATTCTGGAGTTCTATCCCTTGGCCCCATTCTGTCTCTAAAGCATCTTTTGGGCACTGGGCCCAGTATGATCAAATTCTTGCCTGTACTTATCTTATCCTCCTATCCCAAGAAACTTATACTAACCTAGCCCTGGGATGGGCAAGCTCAAAGGTCCCCAGGGTCAGAGAGTGGGTGGCTGGCTCTGCTGCAGGGGTCTGCTCTTTGGCCCAAAGCACACGTGAGCACACACAGAAAGAGAGAGAGAGACGGAGACAGAGAGACAGAGACAGAGAGACAGAGGGGGGGCACACAGGCCCCCGGGGAACACACACACTCCATGTCGGGTAGGTAATTGAGGTTTTCTTCTTTTCATCTGAAAAAAGGGCACCTTCCATTGACAGGAGGCATTCACAGGACCTGGGAAACTCATTGGAGCTAGCTCTCCCAATTATCCCCAGGTGGCTGTGCTCGACAGGGCTCCCCCACATTCCTTTCTGCCTGAGCTTTTGTTTCCAGCTGCAGCGGCCTGGGAGCTCCCAGGCTAAGAGTCTCCTCCTTAAGCCCTAGCCAAAGGCCCTATTCACTGAGAAAAGAGAAGGCCAACTCAAGGTGGTGGGGAGCCAGGCTCCGGGCCCCACTCCCAGGCTAGGGGAGGGAAGACCTCACCGGCTGCAATTTTCTCTTAAGCCCAAAGAAACTAGAGAGCAATTAAGAAAGTCAAGAACTGGACCCTCCACCCCTGTTCTTGCCTTAATTAATTCCTCTCCCACACACATCCTGCTTGGGGGGGGGGGCACTGGCCTCCATCACCTGTCACCTGCACTACACACACATACACACACACACAAACACACTGGACTTAGGGATGAAGGGAGCAGAGAAAACAAATGTGGACAATGCCCCTGAAAAGCTTGGCTAAAGTGGCCAGACTTCTGAGGCAGGCCCTAAACACTGGACTCGGGGCCGGAGGATCCCAGATACTAGACATTCCACATCAAAGATGGAAACCCAGGACCCCTCCTCTAACGCTTTTCTACTCTGTAGCCCTGTTGCTGGGTTTCTAGGTACCCAGGAGGAAGCACCCTCAGAGGCTCCTCAGAGCCCTCCCACAAGGTATTCCTAACTTCCACCTGACTCTGATTTTTCTGGCACAGGGGCAACCATGCCCTGCAACACAACGCCACTTTCCTCAGAAGCCTAGAGAGTCTGAGGTGTCCGTGGGCGGCCAGGGTTTACTAAAGCAGCACCCACCCAGTGGTGGATCTCTCCCTTTCAGAGAGCCTGTGCTTCAGAAAGACCCGGTTCTCCTAGAATTTTCCAACTTCTCTAATCAGGGATGGGGACCCAAGCCCTACTTCCTTCTTCTTTTGTCTGAGAGGGATGGGGCTCAAAGCAGAAGCGGAGGGGTTGGCTCTTGAAACTCATTCACAGCCTGAGAAATTCCAGTCTCTTGAGAAGAGACCGCTCCCAGGAGAGCGGCCCCCACCCCAGCTTTTCCAGCTTGGCTCCTTCATTGTCCTTCACTGTCTACTGCCCTTTACCCGTAAGGACCTTAATTTGTCTCCCTCTACACTCCCTTTGTGTGACACCGTCTTCCTCTTCATTAGCCAGCTCATTAAAAGATGGGTAGATTGGCTTGGTTTGCTGTCGTCGTTATTGCTGTTGTTTCTTCATTCTTTCTAAGAAGTCAGATTGCTCATAAAAAAGAACACATTTACGCTACTTCATGTAAATGAGTGAATAAGAAACATATGTGTCCTGTTGCCCCTGAGTCTTGCCAGGTTTTGACATCATCTAGAGAAATGTACTTGCGAATGCATTTGGGCTTTGAACCGCACGTATCAGGAGCCCTGAAAACTACAGCTCCAACGAGCAGCTTGCAGGTGGGAAGGCAGAGGCAAGGGCGGTCCCTCCACAAGTAATCGGCACAACTCCAGCATCCCTTTCCTGCCCACCCCAGGGGTAGATGGAGAGGCGCTCCCACCAGAAACCAGCATCTTCTCCCACATTCTGTCCATGTGCAGTACTAAGTGAGGGCTCCAGGGAGCTAACTGCCTATTACCATGACGACTGACCAGAGACCACCTCCTATCTTTCTGCCAGATGACAAGGTCCACTCTCTTGGCAACTAGGGCTTCATTTCTACCCCTTGCTGCTACCCCAAAGCATCAAAAAAGATTTTTTCTGATAAACACCTTTTCTTTTGATTCTCATGGTACCAACATCTCAGCACTTCCTAAGAGTTTATTCTGGGATGCTGATGGATTACATTAATTGAGAACCTGGTATATGCTTTTACCTTTTCTTTTTAACCTAATGACACACAAAATCCCTAAAAGCTGTAGCTGCCTGAGACTTTGTTTCCACAGTCTCTGAAATATCAGTCAGTCACAATGTACCTTCATATAAAACCTAGTCTTAATGAAATAACTTATTCCAGACTCCTGGGAGGGAAGGTAAGGCTGGTTTTAGAATCTGGGAGTCTTCTGGAATAAAGGGGCATATTGGTCTCATGATTGGGTCTGTTTGGCATCACCTTAACCTAACCTAACCCCTTGGCTTCATCTACCTTAGAAATTCTGGGCTGTCCCTAATGAACAAGCCCAGAGCCTCAAGCCCTTGGCTCAGCTCAGACAAGCTACCCATTGGCTTTGTCTAAGCTCAGGATTTGATGCCCCTGGGAGCCAACATCCTGCCCTGAGCAAAGCTCACCTTCCAGCCCTCCTCGCTAGCCACGTCACCATGTTTGCAGGTCTCTCAGTAAATGCCAGCTACGGAGTAAATGTCACAAGGCAGAGCCTTCCTGGTGCCCTAGGCACACACTCCCTCCTCTCTACAGCCTGCTGGGCTCTCCCGAGAGGGAAGACAATCAGGCAAAGGCCAGGCCTGGGTGCTGGGTCCCCTCGCAAGCTGCCAGCTTTTATTTAATAATAAGATCCCATCCTGTTTCCACTTCAGGGGGAAGAAAGGCAGAAGTGTAAAGAAGCCAGCTGTGAATCTCGTTTAAGGAGAGAATATCATGGGAGCTGCATTCAAATGCAGAGATACCAAGGGGAAGGCAAGGCTCACAAGCAGGCTGATATTTGGGGAGCAGTTTTGAGGCAGAGACAAGGTGTTTGTTCAAGGCATCAAGAAGATAGCAACAGGTCAAGGTCAGACCTGGACCCAGTTAATGCTCCCAATGTCTCCCACTGTCCCAAGTGAGACAAAGCAGGACACACCTCTCTGAGCCACCTGATGGCTGCACTATTCACCTGAACCTGTAGCCCTTTGTGTAAAGTATGGTTCTACCCTCCCGGCCATACAAGCCTTCAACATTCTACTATTGTCTTGAGTAAGAGAGCCACAAAGGAAAAACAAAAACAAATACAAATACAAATGAAGCCTTCTGAATCTTCTCCACCATTACTGATTTTGTTTAAAGAAACAAAAACATTTGTTTCACTGCAGTATTGGGGGCGAGGAAAAGAAAGAAAATCTATTTAAAACCACCATTTCATTAGAGGACATTGTCAAAGTCCCTTGTACACAAGGTAGCAATTCTCCTGGGAAACAGTGTTGTCATGGCTCGGAAGAGGGCGGGGAGATGTCTCCCACCCAAGGTGGATAACCACTTGTGTCCACATCTCTGAATGGGACAAAGGCTAGAGGTGTTGGTAGGAAAAAGCAAAAGGCTTAAGGATTCATACGGCGAACATGGTCAGTTGTTTTGATTGTGTGCCTACTGTGTGTCTTCCCCTCGCCATTCCCAGGAGCATAGACAACTGGTAGCCTGCCCCCACTTACCGTCTCTGGTCCCTGCTAGACAGCGGCCAGGATGGACTCCCACAGATGCTAGTTCGTGGCGACAGTCTCGGCTCCAGGCAGAGTCCAGGCATCCAGGCATCAAGGTTAATGTGAGAAGCTTGGTTAAGGTGCCCGCTCCATAGATTAAATGTACTCTTTGAGTGAAGAAGTGATGTCAGTGAATTCTAACGAAGTTGTGTTTGTCGACGCAAAAGACTCACCCTAATCCAGAAGGGTGGCATGTCGTGAAGGCATGGGTCCTCCTGCTGAGTGTCGTGGGGTCCTCGCGCTGGGCATCGTGGGGTCCTTGCGCTGGGCGTCTTCGGGTCCTCGCATTGGGCATCCTGAGGTCCCCGCGCTGGGCGTCGTCCTTGGGTCCTCGCACGGGGCGTCCCAGGGTCCTCCGTCCTTTGCTCTTCAGTCATCGTGGCTGGTGGGCAAGGCCAGCTTTGGGGAAAGGCAAAAAATTAGAATTTCTATAAAGTGAACAACCTGAAAAACAGAAAAGCCACCTGTACTCACACGCATGAAGACACGCAGCGGCCTCACCTGCTCTTCTGTGGAGATGTGCGGCTCGTAGAACCTGAGCACAACAGGAAATGGCACAGGAAGACGCGACAGGCCTGGATAGTAGCCCCCAAAACAACACCAGGTCAGCAAGGGGCCTAGGAGGGTGGAGCCATGGACTCTCAGGGACACAGTCGTGATACATGTGGGCAACACCCACCAGGGAACGACGACGACGATGATGGGTCTCCAGGGCCAGCGGACCGAGTCATTAAACCTGGTTTAAGCCCCTGATCACTCAGACCCTGGAAATCAGTCCCACCGGAGATGAAGAACCAGGCAGGGATTGTCCAACAGGCACCAGGAGGCTGCTGGCAACTGAGGTAACACTGAGTTGGGGGGCACAATGGGATTGGGGACCTGGTGGCAAGGCTAAGGGCAGCAGGTGGACCGGGTTAGCCACGAATGTGGGCTTAGCAAGAGGAAGCCAGCCTGTACAAAGCAGAGGTACGAGTGGCTAAGACCCGAGGGAGAGGGTGGAGTAGGATGAGCCCAGGGACTGAGGCACAGGTTGGTGTTAGGGAAACATCATGGGGAAAGGCTATGCAAGCACAATGCCAAGTGGGTGATGAACCCAGGCGCTGTAGAAGCAGGGGCGAGCCAGCAGGTAAAGAGCAGGTGGGCAGCCAGGCAGAGGCGGGGCCTACACATGCTCTCTGAAGGCTCCTGGCATTGGGACACAGTCCCCACCGATCGAGAGTTGGGGACAGAAAGGCTGGACTGAGTCCCAGGGGGAGGAACAAACTGTGGAAAGGGCCCAATAGCCTCAGACCCCCATCAACCTCTAGAGGGAGACCTGTGTGGCCAGGACCGGTGGGACATCACAGCTGTTCCTTGTGCGTTTGCCTCAGCCCTAAGCTGCGGGGGCCAATAGACCATACTCAGCCATGAATGGGGAGGGAGGCAGAGAGGGGGGCCAAGCCCTGGGGGTGGGCAGGTCTGCATGAAAGCAGGGCAAGCAAACCAGGCCCACCCCATGCCCTCTGAATGCCCTCTATGGAGCCAGAGACCACAGCTCTGGCTCCCAGACAACCCCCCAGCTTGCCCTCCCTGGGAAGCAGAGGCCATCAAGGGACAAGCTAGGTGGCAGGTGCCAAGCCCAGGGCCAGGACCATGGGCACGCTCAGTTAGGATCAACTGTTGGATGACAGAGTGAACGCGTGGATGAATGCAGGTGCTCAACAATAGGACCCCTTCAAGGGGGGCCAAGGCTAGGGCAGTTAGGGAATAGGACCCCTTCAAAGGGGGCAGAGACTAGGGCAGGTAGCGGCTGATCCCAAGTCCCTCGAGCCCCTATGCCCCCCGCCCTCCACCCTCCGCACCCTAGCTGCCCTGATGTGAGAGTTGAGCCCGTCCATTCGTCCACCTGTCCCGCCATACATCCCACATACTCTTACTGAGCCCCACTATTTACCGGGTTGGTGCTGGGACACCCAGAGGAGGAGGGGGTGGCCTAGGGGCACCCCAAAAGGGCCAGATCCAAACGGGAGAGGGAGGGAGACAACAGAGGGGTGCTGAGACAGAGAATGGAGGAGGGGGATGGGCAGGAAAGGCAGAAAAAAACAGTAGTTCTCAGAAGAATTGGGGGCCAAGGCTTTTCCTGCCGCCTCCCTCCCTTCCTTGGCCTCATGCCCCTGGCTTCCTACTATATCCTGACCGATTCCATAGATGTTAAGCCCCGAGAACACTCTAGGTCTCTGGGCCAACTCTGAAGCCAGTCTGGATGCCTGAAGTGGAAGCAGGGGAGGGGAGCTTCCTTGAGTGTCCCCAGTAGAGTGGGGGTAAAGAGCTCACTATGCCTAAACAGGTGACTAGCTCGAATCCTCCCTTACAGGCAGCCTTCCTTCCAGGGCATTAAGGGGTGGTCATGTTTGAGTTGCTTGAGGCTGTTAAGTTTGGAGGTTCCCTACACAAAACTTCGATGACCTAGGACTGTCAGACACTGGGCAAAGACCCTAGCATATTCCCTAGTTTCTGAGATACTCCTAGACTCCTAGAATATCAAAAATGACTTCAGGGACCTATTATCTTACTAATGGATAGATATTTGAGACGGGGGACCCTGGAGACAGTGGAAACAGTGCCAAATGTCTCCATAATGTGAAGAGGGGGCTTGTGTGTGGCTCTTGCAGAGGCCTCAGTTGTCACCCTAGTCCCTTCGCTTCAACTCCTCACTGTACAAGGTGGCAACCTAATTTGGACCCGCAATGCTACATAACCTTTAGTCAGTGTACCCACTGAGGGAAGGAGGAAAGGAGTCCCCTCCATGGGGCCTGAAACAGGTCTGAAAATTGCTGGGGCGGGAGTTGGAAACTTGGCAGGAGGCTGGGTAGGAAGGGATGAGCATGGTGAGGCCTTTGAGTAGCTCCTTCGCTGACAGACAGCTACCTTCAACTTGCAGCCTCATTCAGTGGGTCTCGCCGTGGGACCGGGGCTGAGATTCCAAAGAGGAGGGAAGCCTACACACCAAGTATGGCTTAAGAACCCAAGGCCCCCTATCCCACAACCACCAGCTCAGCTCATTATGGGAAGTGTGTGTTTTTCCTTTGCACCCCAAGAGGGCTCCTTAGGGTATCAATATTGGAGCCCGGTAGCTACCTCATTACTCTGCAGCCTTTCCCTTCTACAAGGCCCAAGATTAGCCCCATGTTCATTAAAGAGAAAGGGCAAAAGGTAGAGTAAACCTTAAAGGAAAAAAAAAACAGTCGGGGATAGTGGCGGCTCTACAATGTGGACCAGCCATTCCCTGAGACCCTTCTTGTACCTTGAGGACTTAATCACGAGTCCAGGGAGGCAACGGGTAGAGGCAGGAGGTGCAGAGGTTAAACCTCAGAGGAACTCAAAACCCTTGAATGGGGCAATGTGATAGGGAAGTTTCCTGGGGTTTGTCACTGGGTAATCAACTTAAAAGCTTCCTTCTGGTTTTTTCTTCTAAGCCCAGGCTAACCTAGGAGGGAATGCTTTTTCTAGATGAGGTTTGGGTAGGTCTTAACATTTTTCCAAATCCCCTCCCCCTTGCCTTTGCTGTCTTTAATGCCCCCCCTTCTCCCCTCTCCTCTTTGGTCTTCTCTGTGGGAACTTCACTTCAAGAAAACTTAATTGTGACTTAAATTGCATTTGCTCAGGAATATCTAATTGATTTCACCTCCGGTCCCTCAGTTAAGGCATCTGAGGCTTACCTGGTGGAGCACACCTGGCCTTCCTGGTGAAGACCATTAACCCTATTTTAGCCAATGCAGCTTGGAAGAGCTGTCTTACACTGTGGTCCCAGTATTAAGTGGTTGACCTTAGACCCGAGCCCCGATCAGCCAACCCCAGAGTGCTCTAGGCAGCACTGCCAGCTGGGTGGTATGAGGCAGGTCTGGGAAACTGAGAGGGCTGGGAATGCGAGTTCCCAGGGAAAAGCGAGAATAGTGTCCATGAAGCCAGTAATGTGGAAGTAGAAGGGAACCAGAGCCATGAAGCCATGGAACAGGAGGAATGGCGATGCATGTGTCCTTGTGTCCAGCCAGGCTGGAGTCGTGCCAAGGGTCAAGCTACAGAAAAGTCTTTACCTGCGCGAGAGCCGTTCGATGGAGAAGAGCGGATCAGGAAGCAGTGGGTTGGAGGGGAAATTGGAGGTGAGGAAGGAAAGCAGCGAGTGTAGACAGGCCTCGAGAAGCCGGGCTGTGAAGGAAAGACAGACAGACACTGGAGTGGCGAAGGAAGGAGGACAGGAGGAAGTGGGGCTCCAGGTGGGGACAGCAGAGTCAGGAATCCAGAGGGGAACTGAACAGGAAGTACAGGCTTGAAACAGGTCCGTGTCCACTGCTAAAACGGAAGAGGTCATGAAGACAATGATATGGGGGGTGCCCATTCGAAAAACCACTTGGCAACCTCTGCTTCCCTGGGAGATGGCAGGCCGGCCCTGGATCAGGACAGGGAGTTGTGAGCATCAAATGAATGGACAGTGGCAGGAGAAGGACCAGGGTAGCCCCTGTATCCATGTGTGCTGAGCATTAAGGATGGAACGGTGAGAGCCACTGGCCACTCTGGAAGATGGAAAGAGTCCCTCCTAATAGCCTGAATTAGAGTGGGTCTCCGCCCCCTGCATTTGTCACCTTCTAAGTCCTCCTCCTGCCTCTATTTGCCTCCTAATCCAATCAGCCCCTTTCAGAGGCCTGGACGCTATTGTCCACTCCAAACTGGGCTTCCCTAAAGCAACCCAGTTGTTTTTTGTCTTGTCTGGACAAAACTGGTTGGTTTAAAAGGCGACCAAAGAAAGTGCGGATAGAATGAGGGTCCCAATTAGCCTCGAAAAGAGGTTATTCTCATTATCTTCGTACCTCAGCCGTAGCCTGGTGCGCCGGGCACATGGTCAGCGTCTCAGAAAATGTTTGTTGAATTAATTCTGTGGGTTTTTTTTTTAATTCTGGAATTTATCTATTGAATACAGATACACCCAGTACCTACTGGGTGCTCACTATTGTGAGCAAGAATAGGACCGGACAGTGGGCAATAGGGACAGCCTCGTTGGTTAGTAAGAACTTTTGCAATTTCACGCCAACTTCTAAAGCACTTTCTTGTGAGTTACATCGTTTGGCATTTGGTCTTCAAAAGCACCCTATTGGGTAGATGAACTGGTTTTCTTTTTCTTTCCTTTTTCTTTTCCTTTTCTTTATTTTTTCTTTTCTTTCCCCCCCTCCCCTTTTCTTTTTTCTTTTTTTAATCCCTATTTAGGTGTGAAAGGAACTGAAACTTGGACATTAAGTGACTTGTTTAAGATCATACCGTTACTAAGATGAAGTCAGCACATGCTACCAGACTTGGGCCACCCCCCTCTCCCAGCAGCTCCCCAAGCAGCTCCCCATCAGCTCCCTTGGGGGACTGGTATTTCAAACTTTTTTCCATTGTGAAGTGTCTGGTATGAAATAGAGGGACTCTTAGAAGAACTTTAGGCTGAGGACAGAGCAGGGAACCGTCAGGGGTAGCCACAGTGGCACCCAGGTCCAACTCTGACCCCGTCTCTTGCCGCAATGTGGCAAAATACTTGGCTTGTCCTTGGTGTAAATTTCAGTTCAACCCATGAGTGAAGCTCCTAGTTCTCTTTCCCACCTACCTCTTTAAAATCATGAAAAGTCAACGCCAATTCACCCCTCTCTTGACATGATGCCTCCCCACTTTGCACACGCGTATCACATAGGAACAACACAGGCATGTTACATAGAAAGTGCTCTGGAAATGGCCACACACGTAACTCGAGTTCCTACTCAAAGTCTCCCAGACGGCCTGCTGTCTTTTTGAGCCCCTACCTGGTGCAAGGAGAGCCCTGTGCACAGGGCTACAGGGGCTGCGGGAGGATAGATGAGACGAGTGAGCCGAGCTCGCGAGTGGGAGGACAGCCACCTGCACACCTTTCAACAAACACTGCTGAGGGGCCTGCCCAGCCCTGCCTCAGGCTCTTCTGCATCATTTAATTCTCACAACAACCCTAGGAGGTTGCTCCTAATGTCCCCGTTACCCCCAAATGAAGGGACATCTCCAAGAAGGTGGGTGGAGGGGGGGCATGCCTTTGGGGGTCAGCCACATGCTCATTCAAGAAGCACCCCACCCCCACCCACGGAGTTGCCAGCACGATGTTGGTGGCCCCTGGCCCAGGTCCCCCCTCCTGAGAGGTTCCCAAAGGGATCCTTCTGCTCAGGACATTGTTAGGACAACATGGTCAGTCACAAGGGACGACCCCCCTTGGGGAGGGAAGCACTCCACTTCACTGACAGATGAACACAAGCAGAGACACACAGGGACGGGCTCAGATTCAAGGCACAAGCAGAACAGAGGTCTGAGGTCATGACCAATGCCCCCTCACTAGGGCGTTGGTTCAAGGCTTGAACCCAGAGGGAGGCTAGATGAATACTGCTGATCCTCTTTGTCCCTTGTCCCTCGATGTCCTGGTCTTGGGGGTCCGTAGGGGACTGCTCTGTTGTGCTGGTGGGTTCCAGGAATCCATGCTCCTTGCCTCTACAAATAACCAAAGGTTAGAGAATTCACTAAATGCCCAGGTATAGGTGTTAATTATAATTTAAGCCAATTAATTATAATTACAACTAATTATTTAACATTTAAAATTGTCTTCAATAGCTAAAGGGTCTGGGGGTGAAAAGGGGGAAATGGGCGAGGGGAGTCCACTGTCCATATAATGTTCAAGCAACTTGAGCGAGTAGCTGTGGTACCAGGAGATAGAGATGTTCATCAGGTATCGCCACAGGTACTTGAGTGACAGCTTGGCTTCCAAAGAAGGCGGTCCTTGAAGACTGGGGTGAGCCGATGATGTCATCCCTGAAGAGAGAGCCTATGGCATGGGAGGGGGCCGTTAGAAACCATATTGAGGACCTCTACTGGCCAGAACAAGAACAGCATAGAAGAGGGAGGGGGCAAGGGAAGGGAAAGGGAAGGGAGGGGAAGGCTTAGGAGGAAAGAGGGAGGGGTATGAAGGGATCAGGGAGGAGGAGCAGGAATGGGAGGGAGAGAGAAGTAAGGGAGGGGTAAGAGGAATGAGGAAAGTGGGTAGGGGAGGGGGAGTGGGAGGAGGGAGGGAGGGAGGAGAAATGGAAGGAGAGGGAGGAGGGAGGAGAAATGGGAGGAGGAAGAGAGGGAGGAAATGGGAGGGGAAAGAGGAAGAGATGAAATGGGAGGGGGAGAAATGGGAGGGGGAAGGAGGGAGCCATGAAAAGGGAGGGGGAGGAGGGAAAGGAGAAATGGGAGGGATGAGGAGGTGGAGAAATGGGAGGGGAGGACAGCAATGGGAGGGGTACAGATGAGTTGATTGACAGGTCACAAGTGTTAGCTGAATGCGCATGCGCAACTCTAGCGCCAGGCTAGCCTGCCAAGAACCATTTGCACATAGAGACCACTAGGGGGCGCGCGGCCCGCACCAAGAGTCCAATAGCGCAACCACCTGCGGCGCCCCCACTGGCGCCACAGCGCAGCTGCTAGAGCTAGGCTGACTAGGAGGAGGGGGGGCTGCCCAACAGGTTTCAGGCTTGAAGGGGGGGCATAGCCCACACCAGCCCATCTTTCAGGGTCATTCTGCACCCCCATCGCCTATCCAAGCTACCACAAGTCAGAGCCAGTTTACAGACATGACGCAGCACCTACATACGCACCTAGGAGCCACTTTATACCACAGCCACGGCAATGAGGAGACCCTGCAGTAAGAGGCTCCCCCAGACCACAATTTTACATCTGATAAGTGAAAACAGAAAACTGCTTCCCACCATTTAATTAAGCATAATTAAAATCTAAAGACCCAGTTCTCAATACACAGCACACGCATTTTTGAGGTCTTCAGCTATATGACGTATATGCCTCCAACACCCTTCTCCCCAAAATCTTGCCCCCCTTTACCAAGCCAAGTCTCAAGACCCCTAGGGATGATGCCTAATTAACATTTTTGCAATCCTTCCTCTTCTAAAAGCCATACCTTTCTAAGACCCCAGAAAACAAAATTAATGAAAATAAATTAATGTGCGTCAATGACACCCTAAATCACAACCACTGCAGATGACGCCATCTCTGGCCTGTGCAAGTTTTACAGGAGCGCCTCCGTGAACCCATCAATCTCCCTCCTAACATGTCCCTTTAGGTAAATGAACCCTCAGTCCTGTAGCCAGTCTCGCGTCCGACCCCCTCCTGCAGGAGAACAAAGGCCACCTCCCCTCCTCTTTCCTCCCCTCCCCACCCCGCCCCCCAAAATTCCGCAGTGCCACCAGCGCCCTCTTGCGGCTGTCAAAAGAACCTTCTAGAAGCCTGCCACGTAGCAACCCTCTGGCGCCCCCCCCACCTCCAGCCAGCCAGCCCAAGATGGGGAGGGGGCGGCCTGGGGGGGCTTGACAGGGACAAAGGAAACGGCAAAAGGTGATTCATCAAAATTCAAAAGCCTTCAACATGTCAGAATCTTGCAGCGACCATCATGCGCAATACTAAAAAGAACCCTGCCCCCCAATTCCCAGCACGCAGATCACCCCCACACACACACACACACGCCACACACCCCCTTTTCTACATGTCTGTCTTCCTTCTTCTCAGGCGCAAGGATATGGGTTTTTTCTACCCCAGCCCACCTCCTGCTTCTATTCTACCTGCGCACCCCCCGATTCCTTGACCGTAGCGTCAACTACCGCCTCCCGTATGGTGATCTGGGGGTCTCCAGGCAGATTGCCTTTAACACCATCGCTCCCACCGTTAAAGGGGCTCCATGGGGGAGAAGCAAATAATAACGGGTTTTTTTCTGTGTATTTTGCCTGAAATCAGATCTACACTAAACCTGGGTTTGGAATCGCTGGTGAACCTCACGCCCACGATCCACCAAGAACCTGGCTGAAGACTATGAGAAAAAGATGGCTCAAGACCCTTCTCTGCAGGTACCTTCCCTCCCTAATTCATGGGGCTTGCAGAACGCATCGCCGCCATGTCTCCCACCACTAACGCAATTCTAAAGGTGGCTTTGAACCCCCAAAATCAGGTTTTTAGACCCCAGAAACCGCAATACGCAGAATTTAAGGGGGAAAATCTCTGATTGTTGCTGTTATTCTTAATCGGGGTCTCTGCTACATAGCCCACCCTCCAAGACTAAATGAGAAAGGAACCCTGCCGCCCCCCCCCACCCACCAGGAAAATGTGCCTTAGAATCCCCTTCCTGACAGAATTTCGTGTCGGATGCTGGGGACCAGGCTTAGTAAGGGGCTGCCTTCGGGAGAAGGTCCCAGCATCGGCCTTTCGGCATGTCCAGGAGGACAGAGCCTGGGCCAGAAGGGAATGTCGTCTTCATTTTGCACATCCTTTCGGGTGAAGGATGGCCAACCACTCACCAGGTATGGGATTCTCGTGTGGGTGCCCCGCTTCCCTGGGAGAGCTGCAGCCAAGGCCAGCAGAGCCAAGGCGAGCTCTATCCCAGTTCTTCGCCGTCTGCGCTAGGGGCTGCCTGGGTGGGGTTTATATAAAGGCGCAGAAGGGGTGGTCTTTGACGTCAGCGCATTCTGCTGCAATGCGCTCATTTCTCCAAAAGCGATTGGCCGGAAAAATGAGCCCCCCAGATTCTATGACAAATTGCTGTAGCCGCACCCAGACTGCAGCAAAGAACGGAGGAAAAAAAAATCTGCCGCAGTGCCCCTGGCCGCCATGACCAACACCCTGTGGTCGCAGATGCTTTTTCCCTACATGAGCCCCGATTATGGATGGAAGGGCGATTTGTAGACACAAAATGGGGGGGGAAATCACCCCAAATTATGGTTTTACTCAAAAAGCCAAGAATAAAGGTGGGGTACCGGGGACTGACAGCTCATTTGCCTGGGTTTTCCGGAACGTCAATCAGAGGCTCGGGCTTAGGAAAAGAGAACGCAGTGTTTTATTATTATCATTATTATTGCTCCGGAAAATAAAAAGCCCAAATAAAATAATTGATTCCCAAATGTCAATCCGAGGCTGTCGCCGTCACCTAGCACACTCGGTTTTTCATGGACTACCTTGATACGGGAGACTTGGCATCTTAGAATCAAAGGACCTCGATTTTTAGTCCCGGGCTCATCCGCTAGCAACCTGTGCACTGAAAAGCTTACGACATCCCTTCCTCTTCCAAGGGTCCATTTCTGCCCATTAAGGGGGCACCCTGAAACCCGGAGCATACTATGAATATGGACGCAAACTGTGCCCCCCGAAGAAAAGTATTTCGTGAGTGAAAATGGGGTCCTATGCGGTAGTGCTTAGAGTAGACCCCCTAATTGGGCTGATTCCCCACACTTTGAAAGGTGCCCCCCCTTCCGCAGCCCGAGCAGACAGACGGTGACACATGTTGCTATGGCGCATAGCTGCCTGGCTGCGTACTCTCTGGGACTTGGCACAGGAGAGCTAATCCTTAACAGGTGGTACCTCCGGCTGCTCTGCCCTGCCCTAAGTGGCAAAGTGGGCAGCCCGTCAATCAAATGTCCTCTCGAAAAGGTCAAAATGCTGTTGAAAGGGACGAAGGATCTATCTTAGGGTGACAGGTGGGTGGCAACTGGGAGGCCAAGGAAAAAATGTCTGATGACAGAAACGGAACGAGAGTGAAAGACCCTAAAAGGAAAATCAGAGGCTTCTTGGAGGACTCGAGTTTGGAAGAGCCCCCTGCCCTTATTTGGGGCTCTGCAGCTGCTTCCGCATAAGCCCCTTATGGCCAGCAATCCTAGGACACCACCGTAACTCAGGTCCGGGGCTGAGAGGCACGGAGAAGGGCCACCGCTGAGCCCCAGGTTACCGACCATCCGCTCCGGATGACTCAGGCCTTTCCGGGGGTGGGGGAGACTGTTAATGTAGGAGCCGGAGGCATTATTGGGAGGGGGGAATGAAGGTTTAGGGCTTTGGAAGCGTCACAAAGAGCTGTCTGAATGTATCAGATACTGGGAGAGAAAAAACACCCCATTTTCAGCCTGTTGAACATGCAGACAGCCCCCCAAAAGAGGGCCCCTGACAAGCCAGAAAGGCCTTCACCATCCACAGACGTCACGGAAGCTTCAAAAAAACATGGCTCCCAGCACCCCAGTCAACAGGAGACATTTATTAGCCCACAGTATTAATAGCTAGGAAACAGCCAGAGCTGGCTAAGGCCAATCATCAGCAAGAAGACCCTGTCGTCAAGCCCCTGTGGCCAATCAGACACCAGAAGGCCCAGTTGCTAGCCTCTAGGGGCAGAGGCAAGGGGTGCGCATTGTCATGGGGGCTCATGTTCGTGGCCCACGCGTGGGATCACAACGGCCGCTAGAGAGCATCAGCAGCCATGTACTGGGGGTCCCTGGAGGCTGTCAGCCTTGCAACCCCAAAAGAACATGAGTTGGTGCCTGTTAAGAGCCGCTGGTAAGCACGAACTCCTCTCGACAACCAACGGCCATTCTGTCCTTCAGGCCTGTGCCCTTGAGAGAAGGAGGGCCTCCGCAGCAAAGTCAGCCTCTGCATTTTTTTCCTGGGCCCCTCGCTCCTAAGCCTGTTCCTGGCAGCAAACCCCATCCCTCCGCTTCAAAGCCTTTCCTGACAGGCCAAGGTAACAGACCCTGGAAGCAGAGCGATTGGAATCTCAGCTCTGTTCCCTCCCGGCTGGGAGGCCAAGGTCCAGGCCCTTCCCCTCTCTGGGCCCCTATTTCCTCATCTGGAAAAAGGAAAGAGTTGGACAGGAGGGTCCCTAAGGAGCCTTCCAGTCCTGTTTTGCTTGATTTGAATGTATACATCAGGCGAGTCAAATGTCTTCCAGAACATTCTTCATGACAGTAATTAGTATCAGGTGTGTCCTGCAGTCCATGTGGTTACTACATCACGCGGCTTTTCTTTCCATTGTATTTTATTTTAAACAGAACTCCATGGCAACATGTTTATCCTTCTGGCTTCCTAAAAGAAAGAAAGAAAAAGAAAAGATGGGTGGGGGGAGGCTGCTGTAAACGAATCTCTACTGAGCATGGTTTAACCACAATTTCAAAAAAAAAAATCCATATGTTTAAATGTTTTTGTTGGCTTTTCTGGAGCTCAGAACCTAGCTTTTTAAATATTTATTGGTCCAAAGCAACGGGAGAATTCTGGGAGAAGCCAAACCTATGGTAATGTTTGGATGGGAACTGTTTCTCCGTCTGGGCAATGCTAGCATGTTCCCCTGCTCAAAAAGGATCTGTGAAGGCTCAGATTGGTATCTCCAGAGGAAAGCAGAGGACTGGATCCGCTGTTGAGAAAGAGCACTTTCGCTCGCTCTGTCCGTGCTCCAACGTGGCTCTCCTGCAGGCTGGAGGAGAGCCAGCATTCAGATCGGAGGCTAACCTAGCCCCTGCCTGTCCCTCCTCCTCTGCTTCCCTGTAGATACTTTTTTCTTCTTCTTGAAATGCTTTTCTTAAGACAAAGTACCCCAGGCTGACCTCAGACTCATTATCTTGCAGGCTAGCCTCAAACTTACAGCAGTTCTTTCACCTTGGCTTTTGGAATTTCAAGCAGGTTTTGTTTGTTTGTTTAAAATTCATTTTGGGGAGGCTGGAGAAATGGCTCAGAGAGTAAGAACACGACGAAGGGTTCATTTCCCAGCACCCTTATGGCAGCTCATAACTGTCTGTAACTCCAGTTCCAGGGAATCAAACACCCTCACACAGACATACATGAAGGTAAAACATCAATACACAATAAATAAATTAATTAAATATTTTTTTAGAAATTTAATATTTGCGAACTCTCAAAAGTCATGTGAGACAGCCTAGGAGCTTGCATCTGTAATCCCAGCAGAGACAGAAAAATCTGAGAGTTCAAGGCCAGGCAAGCCATAGTTAAGACCTTGTCTAAAAACAATAAAATAAAGCCATGCGAGCAGTCTCCTATCCACACATGCATATTTGTGATCAAGCATACAGATGTCCTCAGATTCAGTTAGGAAATGAGCACAAGGTCTCATTTTTCCTCTGCCAAGCCAAGGCTAATAATGCGTTCTTGTCTAACGGTGAGGGCTACTGTAAAACAGCATATAAGTGCCGCCTGCTCAGAATAGCCCTTCCAGGTCTCCCTTAAATGTCCTCTAGATATCCAAATATCTCTGGGTCTCATGCTTCTGAACCTCCTCCTATCACATATAGATAGACCTCAGCTAAAGCCAGGCAAGCTACAGAACACTGAGCGGAGGGGGGAGGGGGGGTCTTTGCAAGAGGTTGGGTCTCTTCGGGAGATGGGGGACATGTATTTCCCCTGTTGTGCTAGGCACCACCAAAAAGTAAAGGACTCAGAAATTCCTAATCAGCAGAAGCCCTGTCTTTCAGGAATCTGGAACTTCTTTCTAGAAAGCATACCAGTCCCAAAGCTCCAGCCTCAGAAATGCCCTGCTTCCCCTGAAGTCTAGATCCACGTTGCAGCCTTATTCCTCACAAAGAGGAATTGACTAGATTGTGTAGCCACAGAAAGAAAAATCAGTCCCTTGCTCTGTACAGAAGGCCAAGAGTAAAGTTCAGTTACTGACAGACTGCCGTGCCTCATGGCAGGCCTGTGTACACGTCCTGTTTGAGCTATATCAGCTTGAGCCATGGTCAAGGCCAGCAGGAACCCAGGGGTAATGGTTTACCAGGGAGAATAACTCCCTTGCTTTATCTGACTGGGTACACAATGTGGGAGACAGGGGGGCTTTGCTCTTCAGAACTCCTTTTCCTAAGTGGGGCCCTGGAGAGAAAGTTGGTCTCCTCACCATTTGGGCAGACTTTTTTTTTTCTAACTTCCTCTCTCTGGGTGAATAGATTTAGAGTGTATTTTTTCTTCTTATGATTTTTCAACTACGATATATTACTTTTATAATGTGCATTTAGACAAAGAGAGGGAGGAAGCTAGAGAGATGGCTCAATGGTTAGCACCTTCTCTAGCAGAAGATCTGGGTTTGGGTGCCTTAACCTACATAGTGACTCACCACAACCTGTGACTCCAGTTTCACCCCATCTTGCATCTACTTCCTGTCTCCGCAGACATCAGGCACCCATGAGATGCAGCACCTACATGCAGGCAAATACTCATATACATAAAATAAAAACAAAGAAATCTACAAAGAAAGTTAGAGAGAAAAAAGGGAAAAGTAGCAACTGGGGGCTGAGGAGGAGGAGATGGCTAAGGAGATAAAGCACTCGCGGTCAGGTGTTGAGACAAACGTGAGACCCTGAGTTCAGATTCCTAGTGCCCATGTAGAAACTCAGGCAATAAAGCTAATGCCTGTGTCTCCATTTTGTGGAGTATCCCTGGTACTTGTTGGCTAGCCAGTCCAGACAGATAGATGAGCTCTGGGCTCAGTAAGAGACCCTGTCTCCAGAAAAAAGGTTGAGAATTATTCATAATGGCACAGAATATCAGCTTCTAGCCGCCACATGCACACACACATGTGCACACAGATTTATGCACATGTCCAACACACACGATCATACATAAATGCATGCAGTAGTTCAAGAAGACTGAGG